AAACTTAATATGGAGTCCAAATGGCCAAAATATTGTGAAATCTTAGAACAAGATGGTGAAAGGGTTAAATTACAGAGTTATGACAAATTAAAGTCTAAAGTACGAGATTGGTTGCATTACCTTCAGATAAATGAGGTATTTAAACAGGACAGGAAAATAGGTTTTCAGATGGAGAGGTCGAAATTAGAAACAGAATTGTTAGAACCCAATACTAAGAATTTGTCAAGAATGTATAATTTGCTGCTGAAATGGAATACACAAGATGAAACAGTAAAATCAGCTATGATCAAATGGGCACAAGACATAGGTCATGACATTATGTTTGACGACTGGGAAAAGTTATGGAACACCGGTGTTAAGTTTACGGCTTGTAATGCCTTGAGAGAAAACATAATGAAAATGATCTATAGGTGGTACATGACCCCAGTCAAACTTGCAAAAATTTACCATTTGCCCAATAATAAATGTTGGAAATGTAATGAGACTGAAGGTACTTTCTATCACCTTTGGTGGACCTGCCCGAAGATTAAAGCCTACTGGGAAATGATCTATAATGAGATTAAAAAGGTCCTTAAATGGACATTTTCTAAAAAACCAGAGGCTTTTCTCCTGGGCATGGTGGGCCAATTGGTGCCAAGGAAGGACAGATTTTTTTTCATGTATGCTACCGCAGCAGCAAGAATTCTTCTAGCAAAGTATTGGAAGACGCAGCAGCTACCCACTCTGGAAGAATGGCAAGTGAAGGTGATTGACTACATGGGAATGGCAGAGATGACCGGGAGAATCCGTGACCAGGGGAGTGAGACAGTGGAAGAAGATTGGAAGAAATTTAAAATATATCTTAAAAATTGTTGTAACATTGAGGAGTGCTGAGATGCTATGGTGTTAAGAAACAGAGAATTGCAGCTGTAAATCATAAGTCTAAGGAAATTATAATGAAGATGAGTTAATTAATTAAATGGAGGGTTGCTGAGAAAAGGTAAAAATAAGGATGCAGAAAAAGGGAGGTATGGGGAAGTCTGGGAACTAAGGTGAAGGAAAATAAGTTTATGAAATTATACATGTTTATTTGTTTGTATGTTTTGTTTTGTTTTATTGTTTGTTTTTAATACATGTTTGGAAAATTAATAAAAATTATTTTTTAAAAAATAAATAAATAAAAGAACAGGTTTGGAGTTTGCGTGTGCTTCTGGATCCATCTTTTCATCGCTGGAGGCTCAGGTTGCCTGATGTCACGGACTGGCTAGATACAGAGGAGTAGTGGGGTGTATGGAATAAGGCTTCTGCTTCTGCCACTACTTGTGGATGTCTCTTTGCCACAGACTCTCCTGTTCACTATACTCTGTTATATCTTCAGCTTCCAACACCTCCTCTTCCCAGTCTTCTCCCTCTTCTCCCACTCATCATTGTCCTACCACCACTCCCTGGGCTTTGAGCCTTCTTCCTTTAGGGGTTCCCTAGCTGGTGCCTCCCACAATTTCTCTGCATCCAACCAGCCCATGACACTGGTTTCAGCTTCCTCCTTATTAATCCCTATAGAAAACAAGGAGCAGGAAGAAATAGATGGCTTTGTCTGTCGTTGGCTATGGCTCCACCTGCTGTTGACCTTCCTACCTTCTGCCACTACCAGTCTCAATGGGCAGTAGTAGTACATCATTCAGAAGACAAGGTTCACTGTGGATGTCCATCACAACACGCTGTCCAAACTAAATATTTTGGGGGAGAAAGGGAAATGCTATTTGTGCCTCTCACCCCTTCTGGTATAAGAACCAAGATAGGTGGACAAGAGAGCTGGTTTGGGTGGGAAGAGGACCAGTGAGTTGAAGCCCATGATCTATATAGCTTTGATCCAGAGAAGAACATGGCGGACATGTGTCTTTGATTAATAACTCTCTTATTTCACAGGAGGTGCTGCTTCTGCAGTTCTTTCCCCTTCTGGTATAGAAATGGGGGGGGGGGTTCCATGTGGAATGGGCAGGTCTTCCCTCTGCTCTGGATGGGGGTGGTAAGCATGGGAGATAAGTTCTGCTTATTTTCATAGAACCGAGTGGCATTCGCCAAATGGAATGAAACGAGGAACAAGTTCTCTTTCCAGAGCAGTTCTTCAAAGTAACTTCCCATGCACGTGTACAATATTACTCTACAGATTTGCTATTGAAATGAAATACTGCAGTGACCTTTTTAATTCCCCTGATTTTTTATAATCTTTGAAATTTAGCACAACAGCAGGAGTTTAATCATATTCACTGATATAAAAGCCAAAATAAGGCACCTCTACATTCAATTAGAGATATGACCTCCAAGGTGCCAGACTCTTCAGAGATTCTGTGAATGTCTCCAAGGACAATTACATCAATGAGGCATGGGGCTTCCTCCCCTCATTTCCTTCATCGCAACGCAATCCTATGCATGTTTACTTAAAAGGAGGTCTTGCTCAGTTTAGTAAGGCCCACTCCCAAGCAAATGGGCATAAAATGGCAGATTTAGAGCCAAACTACATGTTGCATTACTAACAGGTTTTATTAGTGTGTACACTAATCAAAGCAAGCATTCTGCCACCAAACCCCCCAAATAAGGGCTGCAGGATAGGATTAATCCTTCCTCCTCTCTAATTGTTACTAAAAATCCCCCAAGCTGCTATCCCCCCCTCGCTTGAAGAGGAGTGCCTGCAAAAAGGTTCTCGGTATTATTACTACCATGATTTATTAATGATATAATATAATTTACTTGATATACCACTAATGCCAAAAATTGCATTCTAAGTGGTTTACAAATATAAAAACCAGTTATAGAAGCATTAATATATCAGCGTCCATAACTAAAATATGCAATAAAGCAAACCCATTTCTTATAGCCTGCTAGTAAATTTGGCACAAAAATATTGGCACGGTTGTTATACTGTATAACAAAATTTTAAAGTTTGGAAATGAGGTCACTGTGATGATGATGATTAAATCCACATAGCCGTGTATGAATCTGTCTCCATTTTACTTTCACATGTGTGTGTGCCCATGATTTTTGTAAACCACTTTGAGGGTTTTTCACAATCAAGTGGTATCTAAATTTTAAGAAGTAAATAATAATTTATAAGACATGATTCAATTCTGATGTTTTCTGATGGTGTAAATTTAAAAGTAAAACATTGACCAGGATCCATATTTTCCCACTAGAGTTCATTCTTATTTTTCCATGTTGGAAGAGTCACACAAGATAAAGCTTTGCACACAGTTTTGTTCTGTGTGCTGTTTTCAATCAGCCTGAAAGGCCGAGGTTTCTGCACCAGGCTTCCTCAACCTCGGCCCTCCAGATGTTTGGAGACTACAATTCCCATCATCCCTGACCACTGGTCCTGCTAGCTAGGGATCATGGGAGTTGTAGGCCAAAAACATCTGGAGGGCCGAGGTTGAGGAAGCCTGTCCTGCGTTATGGTGCTTCAGTATGTAATGTATCAATAATTACATATGGCTTTTGCATGAATCTTGGTGCCTCAGTACTGAAAATGCTTGTCACCTATAAAAAAGTGTGAGATGGATTCCATTTTTTTAAAAAAAGGTGTGTGTGGGGGGGGGGGAACAAGTTTGAAAGTAGACAACAAAAGGATTCAGCCATGCAAGCAAGAAACATGTAAGTAGAGTTTTTTAGTCTCACAACAACCCTATGAAGTAGACTGACTAGAAAGCTAGAGACTCAGAATCAAAGAACTGAAGAATTGGAAGGGACTCTGAGGGTCATCTAGACTCACCTCCTATGATGCAGGGATCACAACTAAAGCATCCATGACAAATGGCCATCCAACCTCTGCTTAAAAACTACCACGTTCCAAAGGAGTCGATTCCACTGTTGAACAGCTTTTACTGTCAGAAAGTTCTTTCTAATGTTTAGTCGGAATCTCTCTCAAGAACAGGAGAAAACAAGCTTGCTCCATCTTCCATGTGACAGCTCTTTAGATATTTGAAGATAGCTATTCTATCTCTTCTCAGGCTTCCTCAACTGTTACTCATAAGGCTTGATTTCCAGACCACTGGTTGCCCTCGTCTGCATACATTCCAGCTTGTCCATATCCTTCTTAAATTGTGGTGTTCAGAACTAGACACTCCAGACCAAGGCAGAATACAGCAGTACTATTACTTCCCTTGATCAGGGCACTATACTTCTGTTGATGTAGCCTAGAATAGCATTAGCTTTTTTTTGGCTGCTGCATCACACTGTTGACTCATGTTGGGGTTGTGTTCTACTAAGACCCCTAGATCGCATGTACTACTAGTAAACCAGGTATCCTCGATCTTATATTTATGCAGCTGGTTATTCCTGCCTAAATGTAGAACCTTACATTTGTCCCCATTGAAATTCATTTTGCTAGTTTGGGCCCAGTTCTCTAATCTGTTAAAGTCCCAGTTCTGTCTTCTGCTGTGTTAGCTACCCCTCCCAATTTGGCGTCATCTGCAAATTGGACGAGCATCCCCTCAATTCCTTCATCCAAGTCATCCAGGACAGAACCCTGTGATACCCCACTTGTCACTTTATTCCAGGATGATGAGGAACCATTAGTGAGCACTCTTTGTGTTCATTCAGTCAACCAGCTTAAAATCCACCTAACAGCAACCTTGTCCAGCCCACATTTTACCAGCTTTTCCACAAGAATATCATGGGGGAGTTTGTTAAAAAACCTTACTGAAATAAAAATATACTATGTCCAAAGCATTCCCCTGATCCACCAAGCTTGTATCTCTGTTTTTTAAAAAAAGCAATGAAATTTGTCTGGCATGACTTGTTTTTGAGAAACCCATGCTGGGCCTTAGTAATTACAGCATCCTTTTCTAAGTGCTGACTTGCCTGAGATTACCCAGAAAGATTCATAGCAAAGAAAGGACTTGAACTCAGATTTCTGACTTTCAAATCTGACATCTTTGCTGTTGTGCTTACTGTATCCCATTCATTAGGATAACTGCAAGGTCAGAAAATGAGCATTTAGTTTTTAAAACAACTTTAATTACTTGTATTCTAGGTGTTCTCGTTCTTTTGGTGCATATGTTGAGATGTGTGCAAGCATTCATATACTGAACTGCATGCATATGTCCAGTCATTGCCTATAGAAGTGAAGATATCAGTAGAGTGATTGTCTTGTTCTTCCATACAATTTAACAATAAAAACATTCAGAGCCAATTGGATTTTTCATCAATCACCCTGATCACAGTGGCTGTATCAGCAAAGGGTTTAAGAGGGATGATCCGTTATGTCACTTGAGGCACGGGACAAAAACATCACTTTCAAAACATTAATGCCACAACAAAGCCCCTCTTTTTTTTTGTCAACCTGGCATCAGTCAAAAGGCTTATGATGCAATTCCTGCCAAACAGGGTGAGCAGAAACACTTGACAAGCCTCTGAACAGCTTGGCGAAATATCCTCTTCATTTTATGCCAGACATAAGTGGCAAACATTTTGGTCTTAACTCTGTATCAGTCAGGGTGTATAACATTTTGCATTTGCAAAGTCAAAGTGGAGATTTTGAACGTTGGAAGGGTGGATGTTAATTTCCACAATCTCTAGATCCCCGGCTTTAAGTTTGAAATTTTGTAATGAATGGCCACATAAACCATGGTTGTGCATGGTTTATCTGCCTTGACAAAAAGTGGCTCAACAGTCCTTAAACCCATTTAAGTCTGGCTACAGTTCAGGATGCTGTCATGCTGTTCAGTCATGCTGGCCACATGACCCGGAAGCTGTACGCCGGCTCCCTCGGCCAATAAAGCGAGATGAGCACTGCAACCCCAGAGTCGGCCATGACTGGACCTAATGGTCAGGGGTCCCTTTACCTTTACAGTTCAGGATGCAAACCCACAGCTTGAAGGATAGATATAATGACTATGCTTATATTGACATAATATTTAACCTGCTGGCATTCATCTTTCTTGAGAGACAGTGGAATACACCTCCAGGGCTGAAGTCAAACCATTGTGTTGGCACCTAAGTCACCTCCCTGGAGCACAAGCTTGGGCAGTATGCGTGGAGGTCCTGGGATGCCTAGCCAGTGTTTCCCAACCTTGTGCCTCCAGCTGTTTTTGGACTACAATTCCCATCATCCCTTGCCACTGGTCTTGCTAGTCAGGGATGATGGGAGTTGTAGTTCAAAAACAGCTGGAGGCACAAGGTTGGGAAACACTGGCCTAGACAACAAGACTCCCCTCTCAACCTCGCTGATGCGGTCCAAAGGAAAGCAGAGCAGTATGTTTGGCACCAGCCTGGCTGCAGGAGTTGCCAAAAGGAGGCGCACTACCCTTCCTCTAACACCCCATACACCCCAATAATACTTAACCATGGTTAAGGCAACCCCCATTTTTCTAATGTTGTATTTTAAAAGATTGTAAGCCGCGGATCTCACTGGTGTGTCCCTATACATATTCTCTAGGGATAATTCAGCAAGATGCACCATGATTTCATTGTGCTATTTGGATCTTTACCAGAGTTAAAGCAATCATGGTTAGCATTTTGCAGGACGTCTCCATTTTACCAAAGACATTTGGTTCTCAAGAAGCAAAAAAAAAGAGAAGTATTTGCCACAAATTTCCTGCTCAATACAGTATACCACTTTCCCTTCCAATAAATCCAGGAGAGTCCATGCTACCAACTTGCAAAGGATTCATGGTCAGTCAAACACTCTGTGACACACCTTTTGATAGATAGATGCTGTGATAATCTCATCTTCCATGCTATAGTACTTATGTTTACCATTAAGTCATTTGCCCATACTTATATCTTCTTGACATGTTTTGGTAGGCTGCAAACTATTAGAAAAATACATCAGAGTGGCAATAGCTTCTGAGGGGCTGAACATTCACACAGGGACCTTTAACAAGCAGTTTGTGGCCATTCATTACAAAATTTACTGCAAGATACTTTATGTGCTTCTGTATCCCACACATAAAGTACTGTGCAGTAGTTTCAATAAAATTTGTGTGAGATACTTTATGGGACTTAATCTTGGCAATGTGGTGCCATCAGGAAGACCTAGTATCTGTGTATTAGACTTCAATTTGGAAGGTTTTCCAAGTAAATGGCTAAATCATTATTCAGTTGAATGATAACTTACTGTAAACAGTATGTTGCTTCTGGATATATCACTTTTGATCAATAGGTTTTCTGTCTGACTCTGCATCTGTTAATATTGTAGAGTGGCTGGACTGAATGCTTCAAACATTCTAAGTGGAAGGAGAGAGTTCATTAACAAAGATTCACTTTTTAAATATATCATAGGATTCACATATAAAGATGCAATATTAAGGCTGCAATCATGTCACATTATATACCAAGATAAGAGTCGGCTAATTAGTACACGTAAACTCAAAGCAGAAACTCTTTTTTTGGAGGAAACCATTCTCCACCCCCCTGAAATCCAAAATCTGCCATTTTTTCACATTTCACTTTTATGTACCAGTGACGCCCTCCAAATTTCTGACAACAGCTGATACAATGCAGACAAGCATGATGCTGACTGGACTGTTGAAAGTCGAATCAGCACTTTTCAGTGGATTTAATATAAATTTTGAAGTCACATTTCACAGATTGAATTCCACAGCCACGGTATGTAATTCCAGATACGAATGGTAGAGATGAAAGGGGAGAAAGAGCAAATGCCAAATCACATTTGAATTTAGACTTAAAAATCTAAATTGTTTCTGTGGCAATTGCACGGACTTTTCTGGCAAGAAGTAAATGTGGCAGTAGGAAGTCATGGAAATTTTTCATTGGCTGACTGACTGATTTGATTTCTAGGCTGTCTTTCAGTCCTGAAGGATTGCTAAGACAGTGTCAGGGCCCAACTCTGAGCAATAGCCTGGTTCTTGGAGAGCAACTCAGATGAAGAGGAGCCAGTCAGGTCCATCTGACAAGCAGCAACACAGGCAGAAATGCTGGAAAACTACAATGGGCCTGATCCCATTGGATTGGAAGCCTCTGAATCAGGGACTCCTGCATCAGAAACACTGGAGTCTAAATCCAGTCCCGTCCCCAAAGAACTGACCACATAAGAGTCTCCTAAATCTGGTCCAGCATCCTGTTTTCACAGTGGCCAGCCAGATGCCTGTGGAAAGCCTACAATGAAGACACAAACACAACAGCATACTGCTCATGTAGCAACTGGTATTCAGAGGCATACTGCCTCTCACAGTGGTGACAGAACATAGCCATCATGGCTAGGGACCCACAACCCCATATCAACCCATTAAGACAGCAAGGAGCTTGGAGGGAAAATGCAAATGCCCTCTCTTTCTTTCTAATCTGTAACCTAACCAAACCACCCATGGTTCATTTGACCGACTTAGAGGCCAGACAATGGAAGCCCCATGCCTGAGAAACTGCTGCCATCAGTATTCACATTAACAGACCCCAGCATCACTCTGCACACTGTGCTCATCACCTAAGCGGGGAACAATATCTTAATGGTATGTACACTTACATAATTCTAGGAACACTCTCCTCAAGTTACTGAGCCTATAAGAGTTATCTGCTTTAAAACATTATGGCCCAGTCTTCGACAGATGTTTCCTAGCCTCAGTTGTTTCAATCCATGTCATCTTGGCTTCCCTTCCTATTTGCGGTCCCAGGTTCCATCCCAAGTATTTTTAAAGAGTCACTAGCAGCCAGTGCCCATAATACTGTGATAAGCAGATCCATCACCTGCCTCAGTAAGACAACTTTTTATGTTCCACCATCTCCCATCATTGGCTTTTTCCTGGATGTTTCTATATAAGCATAGGCACCTTATTATTTAAGTGGTTGGATGCCTGATCCCCAATAATTCTTGAGGAACTGCTTGACTAACCCCTGGTACCTTAGCACAGAATAGAGCCTCTTGTTCTGTCCAAGGCAGTGGTCTCAGCTCAGGGATAACGTGGTTCTAGCCCAGTAGGGACTTATGCTGAGCACAGAGGCCAGGGACACCAGATCATGTACCTCTAACACCAGTTTCAAATCCCAGCCTAACTCATATTCCAGCAAGGCAAGCTCAAACAAAGCAGAGAACGAGTCCAGATAAAGAAGGGAAGGGCAGAGGTTCAAGTACAAAAAGTGAAAAACGTAAGGTGGGTGGCACCCTGGATAGCTCCAAAAGGAGCCTAGGCTTAACAGATGAAGAGAACTTTAAAAATTGAACAAATGAATAACAAAATCTGTCCAGGTCAAAATCCCACAAAGGATATGTTCTTATTTCTTTCTTATTTGTCCACAATAAGCAGAGACTAACAACTAAATGTTGCAGTGTTTCCTCAGCCCCTAGAAACAAGCCCTGTAAGGTGCTCCAACCAGCCTGGAACAGGAACCTAGAAGCACAGATGTGGAGGCAGGAAAGGAAAAAGGACACCCCTTTTTCATTTCTACCCTACTGAAACTACTCTGCACGGTGCTATTAAGTGCTCATGGGCTCAGTGTTTTATTGCTGTATCATTTGGGGTGGGGTATCTGGTGAGTGGAGAAGTGGAAATGTGCCTTTCCCCTTTCCCTGTCCCAAAGCTTTCGCATATAGCATGGAGAAGATTCACAGATCCTCTTAACCCTAAGCTCCCTTTTAGGATACCACAAGCAGTTAAGGGATCAAGCAAAGCAAGTCCTTCCATCCCTCTCTGAAATATACTCGGAGTTGAGTGCTGATTTCATGCTCTTTATTTCAGCTCATGGTAAACAGTGAGTGAGTGCTTTCCCCCAAAACTTCTGGCTATATATATATAATTTACACAATGAGTCCCATGTGATTGGCTGATTCAACTCCCCTCCTGGAGCCTGATTGGACTGTTCCTGCAGACCAATCAGGTTGCTGCCTTCTAGGATCCTACCTGCCTATTGTTCTAGGATCCAAGCTCAGTATATAACACTCTCCATTTTCCTTTTATCTGCAAACTGAAGTCATCAACATTTCATAGGTCCTGGGAGTCACTGAGCATAGAAAGGCATGTCTTTTGGATTTTCAAAACTTTTATTTCCTATTACTATATGAACAGAATACAGTGGTACCTCGGGTTGCATACGCTTCAGGTTACATACACCTCAGGTTACAGACTCCGCTAACCCAGAAATAGTACCTCGGGTTAAGAATTTTTCTTCAGGATGAGAACAGAAATCGTGCTCCGGCGGCGCGGCGGCAGCAGGAGGCCCCATTAGCTAAAGTGGTGCTTCAGGTTAAGAATAGTTTCAGGTTAAGAACGGACCTCCGGAACGAATTAAGCACTTAACCCGAGGTACCACTGTACTTTAGGATTCCTGGGTTGCTCCTCAGTTATACGGAAACCTACCTGTTATGTCTGGCTGGCCCCTTTTTCTTACAAACTGATGGCCGTGTGGCATGAGGCCACCCAAGTTTGCTAATAACCACTTTATAACCCATGGATGTGTCAGTTTGTAGATTATTTTATGTGTATTGTTTGCATAGCGTCAAGTATATGAAAGTATCAGTTTTGCAAGGTTATCCTATCACAGCAATGGAAGAATGCAAGGGTTTTTATTTCTAACCAATATCCCAAAAGAACCATCCAAGAAGAAAGGGAAAGTCACGGTGCTGTATAGTTTTAGCCATAGAAGTTGAAGGCAGTTGCTTATAACTGGAGGCTGTAGAAATCTGCATGGCAAAACAGAGCTAGCCACAGCATTGAAGATACAGGGTGGGTGGGACAACCCCAGCTGATGTCAAGTTTATTTACATAATTTATTCTAGTTGCAGAACTTGTGGGAAAGGGATTAAATTCGGCATTCTAGAGACCCTTCCTTCCTTCCTCTCTGCTTCATGTGGCATAAAAACCCCTCACTTCTATTGCTTTCTCCCACAAAGAAAAGTACTTTGAGATCAGAGAGGTAAATTCAGAGAAATGGCCATATGTTTTGGCACATAGACATTATTTTTCTGAAGTGGAAAATTAAACCAATAGCAATCACCCTCAATAGCTCAGCTGGTTACAGAGTGGTGCTGATAACGACAAGGTTTCAGGTTCCAACTCTATGATTCTATGATCATTAGTATTATGACCATGCAGAGATGTTGCAAGAACTCCAAATTCTCCGCAGAAAAAAATTGAGAGGCTTTGAAAGTTTGTTAGGAAATGAAACTGTGATTTCCCATTTGCAATAAAGATTCGAAGCAGTCTTTAAACATTTTTGCTGCCTTTCAGGAAAGGCTGTCATTTCATTTCCAAGCCACCAGATGCCAGACGTCTACTGCAAATTTCTGTTCTATCACATATACAGGACAGACTCAGATGATCTTTCTATGCATTAATATATCCTTTCAGCAGAAATTCCCCGTCTTTTAAGCAGCGTGTTCTTGATGCTATTCATTTACTGTAACAATCCTTGATTATCCACAAACTGTTTCTAAAGGTGATTACAATTTTGTCAAGGAATCCTTCTTTTTAAAGGACTGTGATTTTCCTCTTCGATCATTTTGCTTTACCCCTCTAGAACCCGCGCCAGATAATAAAATTCAGTCCTCAGTTGCATGAGGAACAATGGCATCTAATGTGTAGCGATAAAAGAAAATTAAAATCTTTCACATGAAAAACTAAATTAAATAGATTCAACAATTTAGCAGCCAGACAAATCTATAAACATTACTCCTATACAGAGGAAGCCTGTCGTAATATTTATTCTTACATCAAGATCTAAAATGCAGTACATTTAAACCACATATGACTTTCATATAACAATTTTCTCTCCAATTTAGTAGCCATGGCTTTTATGTTTTATTTGAAAAATAAAATTTTTTTAAAAAATATTTTGGTTCTTGAAATTGAAGTGGTTAAAATGTTTTTGGTTTTGTTTTCAAATGGCAGATATTCATTTACATTGCGGAGTGCAATTTATGAATAATATGCACACTTCCCCAACACATCCATAACTAAATGCTATTACGCCACAATTCATATGACACCATGACTGTAAGCGTGCAGAAAGACATATCTATGAAGAGAGACGTGTTGTTTTGGAAAAGAAAAAAATTGCAGCTCAAATAGCTATGTAAATTCTTTTCTCCGTTGCAACAGACACGGAATTTTGTATTGTGCTGTTTAAAAATAAACTAGTAATTCCATGTGCCAAAAGGACAGAACGGGAAGCTGGAGAAGGTATTTTTAAAACCCTCTTCCAATTAACAGAAAGGGATCCCCAGAGCCAAGTCATATTCATTAATTTAAAATGCTTGTACAAAACAAATCTTTCT